CCCCCCCCCCCCCACCCCCCCCCCCCCTCTCTCTCTCTCTCTCTCTCTCTCTCTCTCTCTTGCGTGGCACACACTGCTGTTCATCATATGGCGCGGCCACAACAACCAACGATCGCGCGCGTGTGCGCGGCGTCAAACCCAATCCACAGTGGCCGTACATGCCGATTGAGTGGCGCGACACCCTGACCGCTAGCCCGTGGCTCAAGATGTTCCAGAACGCCCGACAATGGTGCGACGAGCACCCTCGCCAGGCCTAACTACACCTCTCAGCGGTTTTGCTTCTCGGAGTAGACCAAAAAAACGATTTTTGATTTCGAGGTGTACCCATCGCGTTTTTACGACCGTGCGGGCGGCAAGCGGCGGCGCGGTGGCTTGCTTGGTTGGCGAGCGGACCCCCAGGTCTAGGAGGTCAGGCGAGATTCTCTCCTGCTTGATGGCTTCGGGAAGTCTGTCCCTCGCCGCGTTTTGTTGATTTTGGGTTCATCGCGTCGCAGTGCAACCAGTTTTGCCGGCGGCGCTTCGCCGCCCATGTGCGAGGAAAGCTTGATCCCTCGCATGCACGGGACGGACAAGTTTTATAGCTTTTATGAGGCTTCGGCCTGCGTTGCCGTGGTGGGTAGGACAGGGAATGGGAAAGGCCGGCGGACGCGCGTGTTGGGTTTGTGATAGAGACATGCGCTTTGTCGTCTAAGGATTGTGGTCCTGAGGACGCGCAAAAATCAACCGCAGAGGGTTTGACGCCAGGAGTGGCCGGTCAAAGGTGGGTAGTATGTAGTACGGACGGTGGTAAAGCATTTTTTCGTCGACCAGTCATTTTTGGGTCGAATTTCGGAGTGTTCCTGCGGGTGCTTTCCTCGAACTCTCGCCTGGCAGAGACCGCTCGTGCATTGCGGCCCCGACCGTCGAGAATAGTCGTGTCGATATTTGCTGGTAACATCGGAACAGGATAGTTAGGCAGCATCAAGGTTTATTATTGGAATGGGGGCTCTGTTCGGTATGCGTCATCTTTCAAAGCCGTGTCCCCCTCGATTCGACCAGGAGTTCGTGGAACTGCGGCTTGGGAAGTGAGGTGTTTAGGACGTAGTATTGTAGTCTACAGCAGTAGTCGTTTTTGTTGTCGCGGAAGGACGAGAAAGCCCGGGTTATCGCAAATAGCCTCGACGGCGATTGATGGAAGAACAACAAGCTTCGTGGCATTGCCCGGAATGGACACTCCTCTCGAACGTGCCTACATGTAACCCTGTAAACTACCCGCTTGTTGAGGCGAGAGAGTGTGGGTCGGTAGTTTTAGTTGCAACTGCCTGTGTTTCCGGCGTACGTGACATTTCGAACGACTGATCCCGAACATCAGTAGGCAGAATCAGATGAATGATGCCGTGTCCACCGCGACATTCATTTGTTTTTCCCTCTAGAAGTGCCCTATTAGTCAGGTCATATTCTCTCATTTCTTGGGAAAAATAAAACACACAGACAGCAGTTCCTTTTGGATCTGTGTTGTTCCAGCTCTCACTAGAGGCGAGTGCTATCAACCCCGGACAGCATCAGACAGCATGCGGTGGTCCGCTATGTGTGGCAGTACTAAGAAGCGCGGCGCGCCGCGGCGCTGGGGCGCGGGAGGAACCGTGAAGATACAGTAGTCACTCTCCCCCCAACTCGCTCGAGGGGGATAATGCTACTGCTGTAGTACCTCCCGATGCAGAGGCAGTATGTGCACATCTCACCGATCTCCGATCTCACCGTTTTTTTCTCTATTCTGTTCTTTTCTGGTGATGAAACCTGCAATATTCGTCAGATTTGTCCCCCCCCTGTGGGCCTGTGGGTCTAGGGTTGCAAGAATCAAAGAGTCAAATCCGCTCGAGCAAAACGGACGTACATATGCGCACACATGCGGTTTCTCGTGCTTGAGCGTGAAATCGACGTCGTCGCCATCGAAGCCGCCATGCCGCTCTCTCAGTGGGCACAATCACCGACGACTCCTCGGTACCAAGAGGAATAGTGACGTGCGAAACGTGCTGCATAGGCGAGCTCGAACGGTGGTAGAGCGACAAGGTCGCACGACACACCACGATAATGTTCCCCCGTGGGTAAAACCACTTCTTTTTTTCTTTTTTTTGAATGTCAGCAAGTCCTCTCACATCTCACATCATCCTCTCACGTTTCACTTTCCTCTAACGTTTTGAAGGGCCGTCGCACCAACTCACACTGCTGAACCAACCATCATCGAAGACCGCTGGGACGAGAAACGAGCGTCGACCAAAGTGCATCTGGTCGTCGTGCAGCGCGCTGGCGGGTGTGTCTGCGTACACGAGGAGAAGCGAATAGTGGTGGTGGAGGAGACCAACCCTTCCTTCCTTCGTTCGTCGGCAAACTAACCGCAGCACACAGAGGACCAGAGAAAAGGTATGCAAAGTGCAGGTAGAACAGGGTCTTGATCGGTGGTATGTATAACATTCAAACACCTCTTGGGGTACTACGTACTCGCGTCGCTACTCGTTGCCCTGGCACGGAGAACGCACACAACACACTCACGTTCAAAATAGCGTGTATTCCGTGACTGACTGCTTACAGATCCACCATGGTCACGAAGTTTAGACGAAGTGGGTGGGCGCATGCGTGCTCCGTTCGTAACGTTGGGAAACTACGTACTGCGTCCGTTCCTCTGGTACTGCTGCTTGGGAGGACTCGAAGGCACCCATAAACGCGCAACGCCACCTCGTCAGAGTCGAGAGTCAACGTGTTGTGCGCGAGGCCACGTGGGTCATCTGCGAGCGCTTGCATCAATCATGTTGTGAACCTTGCGCCTCCGAACACTGATGTATGTATGATACAGCAGTATTGTACATATTGCTGCACACCTGATGTACGCAGATACTGTATGTACTACTGCTGTAGATTGTGCCGCATCCCTTGGTTCAAAGCTTTTCCCGCGCACCTTCTTGGGATGGGGGCAAGGGGGACAGACAGAGCAAAGGGAAAGCGGACAAATCACTTTAGCGACAGGAACACTCTGAACCACATGCTCGATTCTCGCGAGAAGTTGCAGTTGTCATCGAGCGATAGACAGAGCACGACGAAGATTGGATTCCCCAAGGCGTACAATTTCATGGGTAATCTTTCTGTGCGTGTACTTATTTTGATGGAGGGAGATTTGAGCTTCCCTCTCAAATAAAGTACAACGGCGTTTTTTCTTCGATTTGAAAAGAAACAATATTCTTCCTCTACTGCTGTATGCCTACCACCACCAAAAAAGATTCCAGTGCAATTCTTGAAAGGGATCAGCAGGCAGGGCGTTTCATGACGAACCTGTGTTTCTACTTCTTGTAATAATGTGATCACCGAGTATAGCATGAAAGGGAATGTCTCCCGGAACGTCACCAGCCTCGAAAACTCAACTAACAAAAGTAGTAATACCAGTACAGCTACTCGACAACCGCGCAGATAGGCAGACATCAGATGGATCAGGTTCAAAGGGCAGTTCACAAGATAGACCACAGCGGAAAACCGGCAAAGTCAAAGAAGAGTTAAGGTTTTCTAGTCTTCTTGCAATAACAGGAAGAGCTTGCGACCAAATCTAGCCGGTCTCCATGAACGAGCGAAAAAGCTCTAGCTTGTGGTCCAAGTTCGGTAATCTCGGCGCGGTAATCTCCACAATTAACGTGTGAACGGCTACGTGGGTTAGTCGCGCGTCAGCAAGAGGTCCTCTTCAGGACTCTTTCTCGGATGCCTTCAATTCTGCAGAAATCGCAATCTCCTCTGCTAAGGTCTTGAGAGCATCTTCCCGCGCCATAACAAAGTAGTAATGGCGATGAAGACGTAGTCCTTGCCCCTCCGCTCCCCTCAAGAGGGCAGGCGAGGATGATCCAGCGGTACATGCGAATGAATGAAGAGGAGCCAACTTGAAAATGATCGCATGTGTTGGCGACGGTTCCCACGGTTTCGATCCACACAATTCACACCTCTACTCCTGGTAGTTTATCATTCTGACCTGTTGTTGGCCCATCGAGGTCTTTTACGGCATATTTTTTCCTTTCCACCCGAGACTGCATCACCTTGCCCCAAACGAATTCACTCATATGCAAGCTATGTGAGTTTCGAGTTCCATGACGCATCGGTGCAAGCACTCAGACAAGTACGCCATGTTGGCAAGAAACTGCAACATACACAGTGTAGTACTTAACGGCGTCGGGTGATCTACATAGTCAGGCCCCGGGAAAATCATGGAACCTAACAACCCCTTGCTGCATGTGTATACGTTGTTCTCTCGCGCGGCAGAGAGGATGGGCCAAGAAGCCAAGATCACGGGCGCCCTCTCCCTGTTGGTACTACTCGTGCTGCTCGTGTGCTACAGCCGAGTGGATCTGTTCGCAACAGCGTCAAGCGGTCACCTCCGGACGTCGGACGACCCCCGGGTATCATCAACGGAAGCCTACGGCCGGGGCGACGGAGACTCGGGATGGCAGCGAGCAGCAGAAGAGAAGGAAGGGTTGGCGGCGGCACGGGCTCCGCCGGCGGTGCTGGGAAGGAGCCTTGATTCATTCCCCAGCGCGTCTGACGCGACCATCATGTTCCTTCATGTCTTCAAGGTGATGAACCGCTAGGCCACCGTATAGTTGTACAATTCTGCTCGTGCAGTGTTCTGATACTAGTTGGCTGTGAGCCCCAGGCGTTCCGCAGCTAAACATGCACGCTGGGTGAATTTCACTGGCAACGTTTTCCTGGGCATATTCTCTTTGAGTATTTCCTGACTTTCCTACAAAATAGTGATGGCGTTGTTCGTCGCCATCTGGAACACTGTTCATGGCACCCCCTAGTGCGGGACATGCCAAATACTTCATGGTAGCCCACATGCCGCCGGCAAATCGTGAGCATGCGGACTCGCTAAAAGTAGCTGATAACACCTTGAGGCCGTTCTCCCCCGGGTTGTGGTTCTTCATACATACGTGGACGGCGATCCTCACGAAACAGTGCGCCGGGACGAGCCTTCGAGAGGTGTTCATGGCTCTGGCGGAGGAGAAAGGGTGGAGTCACGCCGTAGTCGAGGAATGCACTCGACGTAGATCACCACGACGGCTGGGCGCCGGGCCTGCTCTGACGGTGAGGCAACTCTTGGGTGTTCTATAAAGCTTTGTGCAATATTTCGCCCCCCCCCCGGTCCCTAAATCGGAATATAGGTTGGCGTCGGGTGGCACCGCGCCGTAAAATAGCCATCGAACCCTAGACATGAAATAATTGTACTTACCGACTTTTCTTCGCCCATTCCAGTACACAAACCTGATATAGACATGAAATAACGGAACTTACCACTTTTTATTTACCATACCATAACACGAAGCTGGCAATAGACATGAAACTACTAGACTAACCAGTTTTTTTTCACCAGACCATAACTAAATAGTATAAACCTAGCCCCCCCCCCCAAAAAACTTCTTACACCTAGAACCGATCCCC